AACCCTCCCCTTCTTCCAACCTTCCCCCTCCCCTCACGCTTGAAGGCTCGATATTCGATGTTGAGGGACGGAGGGTGGAAGGGAGGGGGGTCGTTTACCCCCAAAAAAAAGGGGGGGGGGTCGTACGGACTCGTCCAAAATCCCCAACCAATGATGTACCCTGGGGTTCCATAGTGGAATGGAATTGCGCGGAAACGATTCCCTTCTGTGTTTTTCCAGAACCTTGAATTTGGACTTTGTAGTTTTGTAGCATGTAAAACACGAAGTGGGCAGGAAGCGGCGACGATGGAACTCTAGTGGAGTATTTAATGTAGCCTAGCGTGGTCTACGGGTAGGCATACCCATAGCGCAGTGGATGAGTGTCGGTCCATTGCATTCGCTGCCTGAGATCGATTCTCATCCCCAGTGCAATGACGATAGCGTGCCACTGTAGTGTTCATCGGTGAACATTTAGTGAAGAGATCGAGGCACAGGGGCCATCTGAGCACAAATGGGGAAAAACATGGGGTCTTTATGAGGGTTTTGCTTATTGTTAAAAAAGAATAGACTCAATGAAGGGCTCTCAAGCAATTCCCCAGTAGATTTGAAGGGGATTGGAGGGATCCGGCTTGGTAGGTTGCTGGTTCCCATCGATCACTGCCGATCTTGTGAATTCCTGTTAACCTATGCAATAGCAGGAGATTCGTTTACATTTCACAAAATTCGATAGATCTCATCAAGGTAAGACCTGTAATTTGAAAGGAACTAGCAGAATAGCGAAAGTACAAAATGCCCTCACCAAGCCTAACAGCCCCGGGGACCTGCCCTCTGTTTCAAAAGAAAGAACCACTGTCTTAATTAGCTTGAATACACGTTGAAATGGGGAGGGTAATTCGGTGTGACAAGGAATTAAACCAACTGGCAAACACGTGCTCTACCATGGCATGCTGCTAACTGTTCCGCACCGTGCTCTGAGAATTTTCAGCGATGGAGGTCTTATTCGAGTTGCCGGGGTCGGATTTAGTTTGCTGGGGTTGAGTTTAGCTTGCTGAGAGATTCTGCACTGAAGAGAAAGCCTGCCAGCTGTGGAGATTTCCCCGGGACATTGGGGTTAATTTAGGTGAGGGGATAGCTACGGATGGGTATGTGCAAGTTGGATTTCTAGGGGATCGTACAGCTACAGCGTTCTGTATATCAAGAATCACGTGCTTCGTATCGAAGGTTCCTGTTGGAATGAGCCAAGCACGCGGTTTCTGTTGGGTATCATCTGTTCTTTCAAAGCAGCGGTAAGCCCACACAGTGATTTGCGCAGCCGGGCTTCTGTCTTCCTCAACGCTTCTTTTCCTAATGGCGGTGGTGGTATTGTGGCAAATAGCCTCGCGCGGGGTTCGGGAGTGAAAATTCGGCAACAGACTGGGCCAACCATCTATCCTGCGGCGACGGCGAACTGGTAGCAGATTTTTGTGAAAGCAGAAAAATACTGATTTTTACCTCGTTGGGCTCCCGCAAGCAGGGCACGTCGTACGTTGGGATTCACCAGCGAGGGGAGTATTTGCTTCTGGAAAGCATCCTCGGTTTTTGAGCCAACTCATCCTTATCGATCGACCGTTAGGTGGTTTGAAACGATCTCGAAGTTAACCTAAGCTTTTGTGAAGGCATTTGAGGGGACAATCTCAAATGTTTTGGACGCTTTCCTGAAGAAGGCGAGGAAGGCGAAACGTTGGCCAATAAATCATAAAAATCTCGGACGGCTCATCCTAAGCATTTGCTCTCGGCTTTCGACTTTTCTCGATTCTTCTCATTTCGCTGGCGCTGTAGAGTCCGTTCTCCTCCCCACCGTTCGGCGACGGTTTTTTTTTCAGAAAGATGAGAAGGGAAAAGGGTGGTCGTATGTCGCATCAGAGGTGGAACCTTTTAGAAGGAGTTATATTTAACAAACTCCCCTCCCCTCCCCAAAAGAGGACGTGTCCTGCTCGCAAGTCAGGCCATAACCCATTACCATTCTGAGAGAAAGTAGTGCGGCTGCCGCCTCCAAAATGGATAATCGACGGCTTAAGCTCGTTAGTCTTCGGCTTTTTTTCCTGTTATCAGTAAATCAACTCTGAAAGAGAGGCAAGGCAACGTAATCGGGGCAGGATTCGATTGCACTCATGGGTAGATGTGTATTACGGCGCTTTCTACTTTTGAACTTATCCCCTTCGTGTTGCTTCTTCCTTCCGCAGTTTTTCGAAGATCGTATAATTCCACTCCGAGTAGTGATGTTCGGAATTTTGTTGACGTTCTAGCGGCTAACCTTGTGACCCTCGTCTTCTTTGTTTATGATATCGAATTTCGAATCCGACGACTGACCCTCCCCTCGTTGCCATCAAAACAAGTCTCAATCCTAGACCTAACTTGCCTCATTATACGGGAAATTTTCAACTAAATAAGCTTATCTGAAGACGTTTCGAGCTGCTAAAGGTCACCGCCTTACGTCTTTCTTGAGGGTTCTTACTACCGTTTACACTTTTTTTGTACGCTACTCAAATCCCGCTATTGACATGTGAGCCGCTTGAACGTGTTAGCCCTCCTACTCAGAATTTTCATATCAGAAAGCCTAAAACTTGGGAAAATGTCAAAACCTTTCAAGTCTGCCATGAGTAGACAGGTCAGAACGGGTATTATTTGTCGCCAAAGTTAAGTATGAACTCATCAACGGCTGCACTTGTATGCGACAGATTTATTCAAAAGCTCAAAATAGTTAAGCGACGTCAGCCCAGTGTGTTTATATTTAAGTGCTCAAGGATATCAACATTCTCATTCAATACCAAGCTCCTCCCTCTCTTCCATCGGTCGTAATCTCTGCAAGTTGGCCAAACAGGACACGTCCTGTCGTTGGGAAAGAATTTGCCGCATACGCCCCCTCACATTTCCTACTTTGGTTCGACCTTTATACCCCTTCCATCTGCTCCCTATCTAAAATCTTGCTGATTTTCCTCACCTTCCTTCCACTTTTCCGTTTTTTTTTCGTTTTTGAAAAATTCCTCCACTTTTTTCCCTTTTCTTGGCGGGGGCAGGGTATGTAATGCATTTGAACTACAAGAAACAGAGTAAGTTTAGCAACCGAAACATTTTTCAAAGGAAAACACGAACCCGCTCGCTGGGAATCGACGTACCCTGTGACGACGTGCCTTGCGACAAATATACCCTGGGGAAACCACTCCCATCATTGAGAGCTCTCGAGGATTCAGCCTTGTGGACTACGAGTTAGAAGATTGTGAAGTGATAATTCCTACCAGCGTGCAGCATCGTTGGGCGAACCCCTTCGGGAGGGGGTGGGGGAAGGGGGACGTGTTTGGCCACTGGGGAGGAAGTCGTGTGCGTTTGAAAAAAGTTCCGCGAGAAACCCTCCGAGTTGTTGACTTTTCTCGGTTTTCCCCATTTCATGTTCGCTATAAACCCACTACCATCTCATATGGCGCTTTCACAACAGTATTTCAGATGACTGAAATTAGCAGCTGATTGGCGACGAGCACCCTTCCCCATCCCCTTTCTCGACTTGAAGTTTGTGGGGGAAAAGGCGCTGTTCGGTTCGGGAGTAGACCCTTGTCAGTTGTAGACGAAGCTCCTGCTATTGCATAGCTTTACAAGGGTCAACAAGTTTCCACAGAAGGCAACGCCAGCGTCAACGATGGGAACTAGCGAAATGCCCCCACTTAGCCGTACTGTTCTCAGTTTTAGGGAAACCGGGCAACAGCGGTAGGAGGTCGGGAAGATTCGGGAGTATGGTAGGTAGAATGGGAAAGGGGGTGTGGAAGGTGGAGGATCGTAACAGATGAAGAAATTCCGGAGGATCATACTGACACCGCCATTTCATACATCGCGCTGCTGTACCCTAGTCTCTATCTTTCCTGAATCCTAGTCATCTGTGACTGATCTCGTGCTTCCCTCATGCTCTTTAATAAGATGACTTGAGGCTCTCTAGTTGTGCAGATCCTGAAACGAACAACTGCTTTTTCAGCTAGATGTTCCGTCAGCTCCTTCTCGTCGCAGCTTTAGTGTGCTTGTCTTATGGTGACCATGCATACACGCTCGATGATATACCTCCTCAGTTCAAAGGTTTGTTTGTTTTTTTTTCTCAAAGATATTTATTACGTAGTTCTACATCGGTACTAATCGAAACATCAACCAAATGAAAGCTTAAGAGCCTTCGTGGTGAGAGTCTTCTTACAAAGGGGGGGAAGGGGGAGAAGGAGAGGGTCTTTCAAGTCATGAGCCAAATTCGAAGTGGTTTGTTGCATGTTTTGAGGTTTACGTGAGAACCATAAATGTGTGATCCATTTCCGCCGCGACTCGACGGGAGAGCCAAAGAAAGGGTGAACAACAGGCTGAAGATTCGAATCCCTCTTGGGACAAAATTTTGTCTTTCTGCAAGATGTATTTTCTTGTGCTCATATAAGTTGGAGCTTTCTGCCTGAACAGATGTCTCCAAAGGCACTCGAATCTTGTCCAAAAAGCCAAAGAAGTATCTAACCGAGTTTTTGGTGAGCTCGCAGAATTTCATCGCTATTCTCGGCATTCCCAAAAGCGCTCTGAAATGACCCTCGCATCACCGCCTATAACATGCAAGCAACCGTTTTGAAAATGTCTGACCAGGCAGGGTGTGATGGGAGCTGCCGTCGCCTCTATTTCTGGGCTGTCCTTGCAGGGGAGGCCTTCATTCGATAGTCTGTCGAAGTATTCTTACATTTCTTCTGATTCGACTTCTCCAGATAGATTCTCGTATAACATTCCGAGTTCTTGACCTTGGCTACGGCTGTCGTACGAGGATTTTCGCGACAACTTGCCCTTTGAGATAAAATCTTGACTTCTTGGCTCGTTGCAACTTCTAGACAGTTTCCATTGATGATCCTACAACGTTCCGTTCAATGCGAACGATCACAGCTCTGAAATAGGTGGACTTGTTCTCGCAGAACGCGAAAATCACTCTCTGCACGAAGAAACCCTCGAGCTCAGAGATAGGAGAATCCTAATCTTTCTGGCTCACAAGGAGATTTCGATATAGGAACGAAAGCTGCACCTTGAGAATAGCGGGGATAGAGTTAGGAGAGGCCTCTGACCCCGTCATCCGCTTTAGAGCGAAGAAAGTGGCACGCTAGACCAACCGTGGACTTATTCACCTCGCACATGGCATGGGTCAGTGTCCACGAAAGTGAGTGTACATTTTTTATTCAAGTGATTGAAGCCGTTCACTCATTCTGAGTCGCTCAGTCGCAACAGACAATTTCATAGTTTGATCACAGCGATCCGATGGTCTCAATAATCACAAATCTCTAAGTAAATCAACGAAGCAAATTAAAAAAGATCGAGAAAGAGTCAGATTAGTTCTTTTCAGAGCTTATGCCCGCGAATGTAAAAAATTTTTTGAATGGTCTATCTGTTACTGACAAAGCTGCGATTATGGAGATCGCTAAAAATTGTGCCAAATACAAGACTGAGGAAGAAGTGAGTGAAAAGCCATTTCAGCCTTCTACGATTCCCTTGTCGAAGTAACAAGATTTATAACGAACTTCTGAATTTAGGCGTTGGATGCACTGAAAGCAAAAGCTCCAGAACTTGGTGCTAGAGTTGAAAAATTCCACGACATGTTCAGGGAAAAGTACGATGCTCTTCAACCTGAAGCCAAAGAATATGTCAAGGAGGTTGGTACCGTTCATCAAAAATGACTGGATCAGCGAATTAGTTCGAATCGTCTTATTTTGTTCAGGTAATCGCTGTGGGGCGCAAAATCCATGCCTCCATTGCTGAAGGTAAGAAAATCACTGTCGCTGATTTGAAGGAGAACGCCCAGAAAGAAGTTGAAAGGTACAGATTGCTGTCTGAACCGGCAAAGAAAGAAATTCGGAGAGCATTTCCTGTCATCACTTCTTTCTTCAAAAGTAGGTTTGGAACCAGGAACATTCTCTGGGAAGTTTGCATCTTTAGCAACTTTATAGGCGAGAAGATCCAGACATTGATAAAGAAGTGGATGGCCAAACCCTAGATGCCGAGTCCTGCAGATGTGCACCATTCTTTCGTTGTTATGACTTGGACCATGTTGGTCTGACACACCTCGTTCTCAGCTTTTTTCCTTATCGATTCCGCAATAAATCGCCGTTGAACTTACTGAATGCAGCAGGTGAGATCCTGAGCACCGTGCAGTTTTCATTGTTGTATCTCAATATTGTGCTGTCCTAGTGCCTCACCAGTAACAACGATCTTACTCGCAGACAGTACAGAAATGCACCTTAAAGTTATTCAGAAACTGAAGAACAACTAATGTTGGCTTCCTGGTCGTGATTAGTTTGAGTTCTTCCAACTAATTTTTGACGCTTCTCTGCACTGGGTGTTCAAAGGTCTATTCCGCTAATGCAACTCGTTCGCAGTGGGATCCAGATGTGAATTTCCAGGCTTTGATATACTAGTCAGACAAAAGAAGCAGGAGATGCTGTCAAAAATGTCCGAAACGTATCCTGGTGGGTTACCAACATCGGAAGAGTATGCAGTGTGAGACATGCGGAGACATTCAGCAGTCTCGATCCAGATTTATCCGTTTTTCTTTTTCTATGTTCGAGACCTAGCTACATGTTCTGCGCATTGCGTATTTCCTTCAGTCGATGTATCGACCACCTTGACCGCTATTATGACACTGTTAAAAAGTGGTTGAAAAAGCGCTACATTCGTCACCATCTTTCTTAGCATATCGAATGTCGCAAAGTTTTTGTTGATATGGTCCAACTATTTATTTGTCCGGGCGCTTGCGTAATCAGTTCCGGGAGATTCGGAACGTGTTTTCGTTTCTGATCATAGTGGGTATTTATACTGCTAATTTCTTGCGTGAGACACTAAAGAGAAAATATTTCTATCAGTTGTGAAGTTGGTCCAGGAAATCATTCTAGGATCTGAATATTAGTTTCGACTTTTCTTTATATTGAATGAGGATGCAGGAGAACACGATGGCTTGGAGCAATCTGGAAGGCGGCGCAAGACGTTATGCAGACGTTGCTGGTCTTGTGGATGTATTATGGTTTGTATACTTGCGATTAATGAATAGGAGTGTTTTGGGAAGAGATCTCTTACCAAACTAACATGCAGCTGATTTGAATCAAAAGTGAATTCAAAGAAGGCCATGGACGATAAGCTGGAAAAACCGGGAATCTTCAGGGAACAATCTGAAGATGAAGTTAATAAGTGTCCAATTCATTGCGTAAATAAAATGCCCCAGAATATGGGAACACCACGTAAATTAGCAAGTCCCAAGGCCAAACAACAGTTCAAAAAAGATCTATAACTACGATTCACTGATAGGTAACTAACACAATCGAAAAGTATAGACAGAGGTTGGTCAGTAGGGAGAGAAGGGTCCGAGAATTCGGAAAACAGGGTAGGTGATCAGTTTGTTCCGACAGTAAATCTTGGCTGCCAATGTGAGAAAAAGAGCAAACTCCGCGGTGACCCAAAATTGAGAAAACTCGAGCTCTGCTTCAAAGCAGACAGAGGCGAGGAAGGTTAATGCCCGCACCAGACGGCTCTGGCCGTTTGCCCACACGCGGAGTCATAGGAGTGTACCGGCTCTTCGAGACACGGGTACACCAGCTGAGTTGACGAGCAACCATTCTCTGCAACGAGCGCATGAGATCGTCCTGAGGATCGTCCTAGAAATTTCGCAGATCACTTGATCGGAGAACTGTCGTTAAACCACCTAGCATCACGATAAAATAGTACATTCATCATCAAGGCGGTGTTCCTACTGTGAACGTGGAATGGTCGAGATTACCCACCTTGTCTGCCTCCAGTAGGTCTGAACTCAGGACCCTTAAGGAAGCAGTATCGATTATTATATACATTATACATTTATTGATTACATTATATGTTCAACTCAAAGCGAAATGGATGCCTGTTTCGATCTATTAAATGAGCAGTCGAATAACATCAAATTCACACGGGAAAAACCCGTCAAGAATTGGCTGCCGTTCCTCAATGTTCAAGTCCAGCTACTACGTGGGGCAGTCAGGACCAAATGGTATCGAAAGCCGAGCAGTAAGAACATTTTGGTTCATTATTCCTCGGCTCACCCGATTAAAACCAAGCAAGCTGTAGTAAGCAACATGTTCAGGGTCGCCAGTAAGGTTTCGTCTGATAGGGAGTTGAAAAGAGAATCCCTGAACATCGCTCAGGGCATTGCCTTATCCAATGGGTATCCTTGCTCTGGGGTGGCGCGAAGGGGGTATTCCACATGTCTTAGAGACAGCCATCAATCGATGCCTAATAAAGTTGTTTTTTGCCTGCCTTTCATTTCCGATCTCGGAGACAGCCATCAATCGATGCCTAATAAAGTTGTTTTTTGCCTGCCTTTCATTTCCGATCAAAGTGAGTAAGGCAGTTCGATCACTACAACACCGGTGTGATCTTCAAAATGAAATTAGCATTGTGGAAATGCCCCCATCTAACCTTCAACGTCTTCTGAACCGCCTGTACGACACATTGTGTGACACTCCAGAATGTGTCGTTTGCCCCTTTGGCAAGCAGGGTGATTGCATGAAGTCTGCAGTCATCTACTTGATACACTGCCAAAGCTGTGGCAGCGAGTATATAGGGGAAACAGGACGTCCTCTCCGTGTGCGGGTCAAAGAACATCTGGAGGGACTTAGTAGGTCGCGAGCCTATACCCCGCTTGGAGCCCATCGGGTTCAACATCATGAAGGCACGACATTCGACGTGTCGGTGACCATATTAGCGCAGGAGGCCGAGATCACAGCGCGTAAGACATTGGAGGCATTCTGGATTACGGCAAAGGACCCTCAGATGAATAGAAAGGGAGAGTGTGTGGCCATAACGCGTGAGCTGGCACCCTTCCTCGACCTTTGCAAGCTTTTATCTACTGTGTAGCGGATATCAGGAGGTGAATTATGTGTTGTTACTTCTCGAAAAGTTGATCCCAGGGGCTGGTCGACCCCGCATAGCGGCGGCCTAATCGGAGACGAGCCGGATGCATGATTGGTACGTTGGATGCTTTTACTAGTCTACGGGAACTTGTCCTGAGGGATTGTTTAGGCGTCTTGAGCGGGCAAGTTACATCTGTTTTTTTGTCCATTTAAGGCTCAGACGAAGGCGAAGACGCCGAAACATAGGCCTAGTAAGAAGCCATCCAATCTTGCACAGGCTTGCAGACACACGAAAAGGATATCTAACATGCCAAGATTGTAAGAAAGTCGCACGTGGGCAGTATCGATTCTCGGCGGAAGATCCGAAAGTAAAATCCCATTTAAATCGGTTATTAAATGCCTACACCGCAGCGTTTCAGTGAGAGGTATCTCCAACGCGCCTCTCAACAAAAAACGCATGCTTACATTTCATTAAGGATACATGACAATAAATCGTTTGAAATAAAAAAAAACCTTAGCATTACCAGAGCACAACCAAGGTAGATCGTTCATTAATTGTTTTTGCTCTTATCAAATTAGCAGCATATTTAGTCGTTTTAGCGTCTTAGTGAAGATTACTAAGTGGTCTCACAACATTTTTTCACAAGTGACACAGACGGTAACAAAAATGCAAGTACTGATCAAAACTGAAATCAAAAGTAAGAGCCATGCGGAAGATGGAAACATTGCCTGTACAAATGTCCACTGAGTATGGACTGATTAATGCCAAGAATCGGGTCGAATAGTCCCATACGCAATGCTAATAATGGTTCAGTCGGGCTTTGGCAACATCAGACTTAATGATCAAGATATATTAACATCTGTGTTTATTTTTGTTTCACTTCCGGTTGCTTCCCTGTCAAGCGATTTATGTGAGCTGATCTCGCCAGCCCATTGCAATAGTTGTGAGAGCAGTAACATGGCTCTGTCTCTCTGCTCTAGCTTGTATTTTTTAGGCTGTAGCTTTTTATTTGTAACACTTCTAGTAAGCTCCTCTCTGTACCTTCTGGTAAGTGTTGTTATAATGTAAAACTTCCACGTTTTTTCAAAGTGCGTAGCTCTCGCCAAGGTACCACAATGGCTGTGGTATGCAAAGGTGAGTGCGGTCAAACCCAGAATAAACAAGCCGAATCAGTGGTCGAAGAGATGCTCGTTTCGGATCGACTACTCTAGCGCACATTGAGCCAGTACCAGAGCCAGCCGTGGCACTCTCGCTTATACCAACGATAAATTAAACGTGGTATCTCTGCCTCAACCTCAAACGGCGCTAGGGAGGCTTATTTTTTGCTATTATCAAGGGCACCGCTGCTATGATTCTAGGACATGGGTACAACATATTATTAAAGATCCGTACTATATATAATCCGCTAAATTCGTCTGTTGGTGGTGTAAGTGAATGTTATGTTGCTCTGGTCTGTATGTGTGTTTGAACCGGAAATTGATGTTTCTCAAAATAGCGCTGCAAGCGCTCAGATTCATAAGTGATGTAGGGCTGGGGCAAGGAACATTGATTGCTTGTGGTGGCCAGGAATGATAATGCAGGCTGATACGGTACACACTACCGAGCGACTTACCAGGGAGCGTCGCCAACTTACCATGCGGAACTTTTGAATGAGACTTGCGTTAGACTCAATAGAGTCCATAGGTAATAACAGAATACACATAGCAAAAACTGTAACGCCCGTGCATTCCACGAGCAACTTCGAGCCAGGAAATTTTTTGTAATGGCGGCAGTGGTTGGAGGGCTTTGGTGATGGGGGGGGAGCGGGGGCGTGAAGCATAAGCGTGGAATCGCATACGCCAAATCGAGTCATGCTGTGCCTGTGAAGCGAGTACCTTACCACTGAACCACCACGACTCCATTTGCGGCATGCGATTCCTCGCTTATGCTTCACAGCTCACAACCAAGCCTCCAGCGTACTGCACCATTACAAACTTTTACCTGCTCATAAGTTGCTTGAAAAGTGCACGTTGCAGTTTTGCTATCTATATTTGTTAATAACCTTATAGACTCTATCGATCCACCCAGGTCTCCATTCAAAGTTCCATGGTAAGTTGGCGACCTTCCCTGGTTAGAAGGGGGAGGCTCACCCCCTCATAGACGGGTCACAGCGAGGCGCGGACGTACGGTCCGAGAGCAATGATAGGGAGGTTTAGGCATGGGAACACGTGGTGTGTGACGGTGGCAAGGATACTTGATTAACAGCTTGATAACGATACCATAAGGGCCTGTCAAAAGAGAGACCATCAATTTTCATTAACATGCGTCACAGCGATGGCAGGACATTAGTTCCAAGAAGTAAGATAGGGGACAGGATGGGAACACTATTAGTGGGTGGCAGGAAGTGATGACAGCTGATAATAAAGATACCATGAAAGAGTTCTTCAGAAGGAAAGCCACCAACTCCATAGCGCGGGCCACAGCAACGGTGGGGCGCCAAGAGGGAAGTTAGGTTGCAGGATGGGAACATCATTGGTGGGTGGCAGAAAGTGATAACAGCTGGAACCAGAAGGGTCTTAGAAGGGGAAGGACACCAAATTCATAACGAGTGTCACAGCGACGGCACGTTGACTCTAGAGGAGATAG